TAAATATAGGGTGGCCCTATTTTAGCAGAATCAGCCTTTTTGAATGGATTTAGTTTTTCCTCTCATATTTAGAATGAGATTTTCATAGGAACTTGAACTAGAGTTGCTATTTTCAACAAGCATCTTATATAACAGTGTCCAGTATCAAGAGCAAAATGTACTGGCAAGAAAAGATTAAACAAAAATGTGAATACTAATTGAGAATTGTTTAAGAATGCTTTCTTAGATGGCCCCAAACGCCTTTAAATGCTACATTCATGTAGATGGCTTACTCACTTGAAAAAAAAAAATCATTTTGTTTAAGAAGGGAAGTGAAAATAGCAATTCCAAATAGAATTTTAAAAAGACATAGCAAATGTAAAACCATTTGTTTATCAGCTGATAAACAAGACACAAATTTAAACCTGCATACAAGTCAGAATTTCTGGGGTTTATTTCTGACACTGAACAATGGTTCTGAATTGGAATGAGAATTTGACATTTCCCTCAGAAAAGAACCTTCTAAATTTTAATTTCAGATGATTCTGATAATTACAATTTTTCTAAAATGAAATGGGATAGGTGGCTGCACCTGTGAGCAACCCTGGGGACTTCCCTGGAGTTGGAAGAATCCTACCCATGAATCAGGGAACCTGGAGGCCTTAAGACACCATTTTGAGCTTAGGTTCCCAGAGCTATTGGATTTCTGACCATTATGTAGGAAGCCCTGTATTTCAGCAAGGCTGCCCCAGAACTGTATCCCTTAGAACAGCACCTGTGAGCTGGGTTGGGCTGGAAGCAGACACATTTCTGATGGGAATACAGGCAAGTCTAAGGGGACTAGAAAACAGAAAATGGTATGTTTCATTGGATTAAGAAAAATATTAAACAAGGGTTCAGAAATATATGGAATTCTAAGATTGGTATAGTAACAATATAAGGACAATAAGGGCTATAAACTTGTCAGTCATGATGTATGAGATGAAGAAACATTCAGTGAATATTTCTGTTCTGTATTTGGAAAATAGCAGATTATAATATTCATTCTGGAACATGGTAACAACATTCTATTCCATCTGTAGGACAGAATGTTAAATAACAGCTATTAAAATTGAACATTTTAGATCAGGGCACCAGAACATTTTAGATCAGGACTGGGTAAGCTGAGCCCAAGAATGTTAGAAGACTTAGCTAAATGCCTGTCTGAATCACTGTTGATTTTTAATGTTTGCTTTGGTTTTTGTTTTTAATTTTTGAGAAGTTCCAGCAGACTGGAAGAAGGCTAATGTTATACCATAACTAATAAGCTAACAAAATGACATGGATAACCACTGAGACCAACACACAAATAATTTCCAAAACATTTTTCCTTTTTACTTGTCCCACTCTGATCTTGTTTTTCTACTCTAAGTTTTTCGAACTTCATCAACTTTGGAAAAGATAGGAAATAGATAAAAAGCAAAATGTAACAGTACAACTGTGACACTAACTTACCCAAGTTACAGAAGTTTTGGAAATTTTCAGAGTGAAAAAGGAATAAAAGAATCAGAAAAGGTGTGCAGAATGTCTTTGAAAGATCTCAACTTAACTGCTTTTACTGCAATTTATGAAGAAGAAGAAAAAGGGGAAAGGAAAGAAAAAACACCTACCTCTTTCTGCAGAAAATTCTAACACTTTGGAAATGCTGTATTTTCAAAATTCAAATGGCAATTCTGTTTAGTTTCATTTTGTAATTTTTTGAATGCAAAAGTGTGAGAGAAGGAAAATGTGCATCTTAATTATATGCATTTAAGTATAAGAAGGTTCCATACAATTTAACTCTTAAAGGATTTTTTCAGTTCACTGTTTATAGTTAAGTAGATTAACTAGCTACCTGTAACAAGATTTTCCTTCTATTGAAAAGAAATGTACACACACTTACTGTGGTAAATGAATTATATAAGTAATATATGGCCCAAGAAATAATCACAATGTAGTAAATATTTAGCCAAAAGGACAGGACAGCAGCAGCTAATCCGACACCTGCAGAGAAAAACACAACAAAGGGAACACTAGAGAATTGTAAATTATTCGTAGCGATGTGTTTAACACCTTAATAATAGAACCCCTAGCATTCTCTTGCACTAGAATACACCACTGGGGGCATTTGAAAGGCAAAAATCATTTAAGATGAAATTATATCATACTGAGTTATCTATATTTATAGGACAAACATATGTAACATATTAACAACAACAGTATAAATAAGTCACTGATTTTTAAGCAATCTACTTTTTGGCATAGGTATAATGGGTTATTTTTCAGAAGACTCACTAGGCAAAATGTAATCTGCAACCCCTTAATTTTTCAAGCCTTCTTGATATATAGAGAGAACTGTAGTAACCCAGCACTGGTAGCAAAATGAATAACTGTGCTGACTATATCTGACTGAGAAGGTCATAGCATTTTTGGCAGTATATGGATGGGAACATAAAAGTAGTGTACAACACTTCATACTTCTGTAAAAGAAGTTGAAATTTGCTAAGTGCTAGGCAGAACTTGGTGATTTTAGGTTTTACTGCTATCCCCAAACTATATTCCAGCATATGAAAAATTCACACAAGGATTTGCAGTGGAATGCAATTTGCAATGGAATATGATGCATTCTCCATTGCACTCAAAAGCTTGTCTAAGTCTATTCCAGCCTTGCAAGTGGTCCAATAAAAGATGTCACCCACAACAATCCTTGCCTTTCACACAGACTAAATCAATAATTTATTCTGAGATTTTTTTCAAAAGTGTCTAAAAGATCTGGCTTCTAACTCTCAATAATTTTAATTAACTGTAATGGGAGTGTATTATCCAGACCCTTAGCTCTCTCTGAAGGCTTCAGCAGCAATTTGGAAATGTAGACATTTCTTTTAAAAATTAACAACATGATAAATGAAGCAACATTGCAACTGCTTCATAAATGCCTTTTGCAGCTGTCATGTGGAAAGGTGGGCATAATATACCTTTAAACATTGGAGCAAGCTTCCAAACTCCAAGGCCTCCTATAGACGTGTACTGGCCAAGGGAACATTCCAAAAGAAACAGTGGCACTCCAGCAAAAATTAACGTAAGGAAATATGGAATCAGGAATGCCCCTAAAACAAATATAGGAAAGAACCATTACAGTGGAAGATTACCGTCTATATCTTTATGAAGTTTCCAGTATTTACCCACCAAATATAGAGCAAATTAACTTTGGCAGAATTTTTTAAATATAAAAACAGTGATTAAAATACACAACTGCTCTTCTGAAAAACTAACAGCCCTAACTGGTAGAAAATATATGTGAAAAGGACTTCACTTAACACCACTGAACTGCTTACTGTTAGAGTAACAACTTCCAACTAGTGCAATTAATACGGAACAATAAATTTTGGACCAATTTAAACCCAAACTACTCCCAGGCACAAAGTTTACACATGCGCCCAGGACACCAGCAATCTGAGCCAGGGTGAATCAGGCCAGGGGGACAGCTCTAAGGACTAGGTGGCGTTGTTGGGTGGCAGAGTGACTGGTTGGGGCATGAGAATGCTGAAAGTGCAGAACTACATGGCTAGGTGGCAGGCAAGAATCTGGTCCCCAGCTGGCTGGGCTCATTGGGCATAATTTAGGCCTATGGACAGCATCTACATCTGCCTTTAATTGCAATAAATTACCCTGGTGTAAGATAGTACTTTCCCCAACAGTACTACCTTATGCCAGCATAAATTAGTTTACTGCAGCCTAATACCATTGCATATGTAGATGGTGATGCTTTACAGCACAGCTAATTAGTCTACTCTACAGTAAAGTGCATGCGTAGACATGGCCAGGGTCAGGAAAACAACTGGATCTGGCAGGCTGAGAATTATGCTAGCATGGGAAAGCTCAGAGGAGGCATAAACCACTCTTGTTCCATTCTCTCATATATTCAATCTAGATCTATTCAATCTAGAGGGATGGGGAAGAAAACTGAGTGTAAGGTGCTGTAATGATGCTCAGGTGCCCTATGATCCTTTAAGGATACTTGCCAATGGGCAAATATTAGGACAACCCCCTGGCTCCTTTTGGTTATAGCAGAACATAAAGCAGTATCATATACCCTCAGTATCAGGAAGGTGTAAGTGGCTTTATAAAGGTACTATTCCTTTGTTGCCAAGCAAAGAAACATTATTTTTGTATCATTATAGACAGGACAACAGTTACTAGAAGCATATGTTTTAATGATCAGACACCCTTCTTATTTTAAATTCAAATTGAAAATACTTTGCAGGCCAAAAGTCTCAAATAAAACATGTACCTCCACCATTCTTGCCACAAAGGTATGGAAATCGCCACACATTCCCTAAACCAATGGCATAACCAACACAGGACATAAGAAAGTCAAATCTTCCTTTCCAGGTGTCTCTGTCAGGAATATCTGATTTCTTCTTCTGCACTTTCACCACCAAGGTTTTAGGTTTATCATTGGTGATTGAAGCATCACTAACTTCAGTTGAGATTTGTCCATCTGCAACTTTTGTTCCATTCGTTGCCATGTCTCTGGGCTTAGCTGGATTGGCTCTAGCAGCCGGGCGAGAAAATTCAGCACCAGTCCACGTGGACAGCAGCTTTGCGGCTCTTGATTACTCAACTAGGGGGTTAAGGGTTTTGTAAAAAGATAATCCTGGTATGGTTTATGATCCAGCTAGAAATTCTGTAATCAGCTTCTCTATTAATCTGCAAAATACAAAATCAGAAATATAATTCAGAGGTGCTTCAATGGTGACTTCTTACTTGAGGTCTACTCCAAAGCCCACTGATATCAGTGGAAAGTTTTTTACATTGTACTGGGGCATAGTTGCAAAAGTAGCCTTTATAAGAGTGTTCCATTTAAGATCATGACCCCACCATGTAGATATTTTGCTGTTGATTCTGTGAGAGCAAAAACACAAGCAAAACCGTAGTACCAAGCAAACATGAAACCAGAGCGATATATTCTGTATGTTCTGCTCCAGATTTCACATTTGTCTATAAATATTTATCAAATAAGACAGTGCATCATTGCCTTCTACTGAAAGTGACAATGTAGATTTAACACATCTCATGCTTCAAGAAAAGACAGCATTCAATAAGGCTCTTTTAGCCTCATTGAAGACATACATGTTTAACAAAAGCATCCTAGCCTTTAATTAGAATTCAGAACAGTTTCTCTGAAGCAGGTAGGAACTTAACTTGGCAGGGACCCAATATTTCTGTAGCCTTATGCATAATTCTGTTCCTTGGCACAATGGGTCAATAATGAAGTGAGAACATTAATAGCTGGAAAGGGAAAGAGCTCCATCCTTCCCGTTTTAACAAATTAGTATAATTCTACATTTAAAATGTTAAAGTAGAACTGCCATATTAATTATATCCTCTTAAGGAAGCCATCATCTCCACTGTCACCGTGAAAATATGACCTTTTCTACAGATAAGTATTGGCCTATTATCATCATCATCCCTAATAAGAAAAGCAAGAACAACAACTTGTATTTTGCAATGACAATTTACATCCATAAGGGTCCCATAGGTATTTGTGAATGGTCGACTAGACTGAACCACAAGCTGCATCCTGGGCTAAGGTAAGTCATACATACATATTCTTATAGTTAACTGCTAACATGAAGTATGCAAGATGGCTTACAATACCTGCACTATTTGGCTGTTTAGGTAACAGTCTATAATACTGAAACTTCATTTTTTAAAAATTATTAGTATGAATTGCAATTTTGGGTCTTTTTAACACTGGTTAGTACTAAATTAGTCATTCTATATAGCTTTACTAAGCTTGATTATGTTTGGTGATCTCCGAACACAAAGGGGGAGAAAAGAACATTTTTTTAAATAACTTGGACACCACCAGTTAAATACTAAGCACTTACGATTCCCATGACTTCAGTGACTTCAACTGGACCAGCACTTTTATTGTTGCGCTCTCCCATATTGTACATCAATGCATCATTGGAAAATAGTGCATCATTGTAATGAGTAATGTGATAATGTATTCAGTTAATTTACAATATTTAAAACCAATAAAAGAAACAATTTGTCACTATGGTTATTTGAATGTTGCCTTCAGAAAGGTGATGCATGTTGTGACAATATGAGTGGTACTCATTGGGAAAAGCCCAGACACAAATGCCTAAAATAAGGGACGAGAAAGAGTTTGTCATACAGTGTGGATTATACTACCAACAGAAATTTAAACAATGAGTTTAAGGCCTCAGTTATAAAGAGTGCTTTTTGGCCACTTCTCAGCTGCACTGTGCTGCTTTTTCTCTTTGATCTGGGACCATATCCAAGAATAGGGAATTAATTTGAAAAGTGATGAGAAATCACCTGAGAGTTTGCTGGAAGAGGAGAGTCCAATGAAAAATCACACTTACTAATAATTATTTTGGTTGCATTATATTCTTTTCCCACTATGATGTGGGACTTAAACTAGGAAATATCAGCCATTTACATTCCCTTCTTATCCAATGCTCCTTCTGAGTCACAGCTAAAGTCTCTTGTTTTAACATATATCTGGCATTTTATTTACTATGTTTCGTATCAGGGCTGGCCAGCTATTTGAGGTGGAGGGCTACTTAATGAGTTTTATTGAGCTGTTAATATTATATTCAAACAAATTCAAAGCTTTATATGGAAAGAAATTATTTTTATTGGAATGCTTGTAAAAACAATACACAATAGCATGTACTTCCCTTATTGTTTGTTTAAATTTAAGGGAAAAAATGAAGGCACTGAAAACTGTTGACACATTAATTTTAGCTCTCTCAAAGAACTGCATGATATGCCATGGCTGTCCACTCATCTCTCTCAACAGAGTTTAACTCTCTTCCACTAAGGTCATTGTACTACCTTCACTTTCACTGTCACTATCTGTAGAATCAGTTGCACTACTTATTAGTTCCACTTCAGAATCAGATTGAGGCAAATCTGATTCAGAACTACTTGAACCACATTCTCTTTTGCTGAAGGATGGTTTTACCAATGAGTCTATGGGCAAGGACAACTTATCATCACACTGCATCTTCGTCACTAATTGTGCTTCTGATTGATTCTCCAGAAGCAAGAGATTTTGAAAAATAGAAAAACCTTAGTGGTATCTTCATTTGTTAGTCTATTCCTCTTTTTTGTCTTGATTGAGGTGAAAGCCTTCCAGTTCCATTAACAAGAAGCTGCTGTTGGTGGAATGCTTAGGATCCTTAGAACAATCCTGGACAACAGTCAGGTGTTACAGTATTCCTTCCACCATGTGAGAGGAGGTATATTCTCTGCTGCCTGCTAAATGATGTCTTTGCTCCAAAGTTTTTCTTTTGTTCAGTAGTTGGCAATGTCTGTCATCATGGCTATTTCATTGATGTTGGGGACATTCTTAGCTACTTCCATAATTGTACTGAGAGCAGTAGATAATTCATCTTCTGATAAATGTTGTCCTCTGTGTTGAAGTTCCAAAAGGTTTACTGTCAGGTGAACTGGATGAGAAACAAACTCACATCTCTTAGTAAACATTTGTTTTACTATTACTACTTTTTTTGGATAGAGTTGAAGAAGACAAAAGCTCAAATAGATTTTCATTCAGTTGTCTGAATATCTCTGGAATATTTGAAAGGCTTGGTGTATCTCTTTCAAGTATCTTGATAACCACTGAAACTGGTAGTAGCAAATTGAATGCTCCCAGAATACATGGTTGTCAATAATCTGCTTCTGAATGTTCACAGAAATCATCTGGGATACTGTATCATCTATTGAAGTACACTGTAAACAGTTCTTTTTGCATAACAAACCATGTAAGTAGTTTGTAGCTGAGCCCCATCTAGTTTCTCCTGGCAATAAAAGTGTATTTTCCTTCCCCTGCTTCTCTTCTTGTAATTTCTTCAAAGTCTGATTAGCAACATGACGATTGCTGAATACTGTGAAGGAGTGAGAGAGAGTAAACAGAGCCCCCAGAGTGCTTTATGTGCTAGGCAGCTGAGACTAAGGGAGGAAGAGTGGCCGGCAGTGACAGAGAGGGAAAATGAAAGTAAACAGAGCTTACAGCATAAGCAGATGGCAAGGCTGCAGCTGGAGACCAGAGAAGAGAAAAAGGATTCACAGCAACACTTCTGGAGCAGCCTTTCACTTCAGATTGGAGGAGGGAATCTTCCAGGAGGTATTTCTGGCCCTGGAGAGGGCCAGAGAGGGTTGATTCCCTGCAAGCTTGTGAGAGCAGTGGCTGAGCATTCCTGCAAGCAGGTACTGCTGACCCTGCCAGAGAAACACTGTGGGAGCGACCAAAAAGAAGAGGCATGCCTACATGAGGATTTTGAAAAATCCTGAAATGGAATAGCTGCTGAAGATTCCAGAGGGAAGCAAGAAAGACTTCCTTCTAAGGTTAGTGCCACCCTGATGGGGCTTTGTTTTGCTCAGAAGAGAGATCCTACCAAGGACTGTGTATGCTTACCAGTAGACCTATGTGGATCTGTAATGAGCAGCATTAGATCGACTGTTCTTTTTAATATGAGAGATTGATCCTGAAGTAAAGGGGACACGGACTGGCTCTAAAGAGAAACTGGAACAGTTGTGTTTGGGGTGTTTGAGACCAGTCTAAGGCCATCCCCTGGATGGAGGTGTGTGTCGGACTAAGACTACAGTCATCCAGGTGGTGGGCTACAGAGGGCTGAGCATTAGACAATTGGGCAGCATCAAACCAGGCTGAAGAGAAACTTTGAATTCCATCCTGGAGCGGCTAGGGTGGCCTAGAGGGGAGGTTTGCATCCCCACAGAAGACAGAGATTGAGATCTGAAGGATCATCTTGGGGTATTGCCTCCTATTAACATTGTACCAACACAGTCATGGCAGGAGAGAAAAGTTAGATCAGTCTCCTGGCAGACTGGGTGATCTGAGATTAAGGTCCATCCTGTCACTGCCTGTAGGTAAATGAACACTTGCAAGTGGCAGTAAGTTCTACAATACATACAGTCATCACAAATACCTTCACAATCACTTTGCAGTTTTCCAATATTGTCTTTACTGTATAGATTTCATAGACATTAGGGCTGGAAGGGACATTGGAA